TACAAGTGACTGTAGAGTGTTAATTGAGAAGATCACAAAATGCATTTCTGGATGGAAGCCTAAGATGCTCAGCTACGCAGGTAAACTCCAACTCATTACTTCTGCCTTGAGTAGTCTATCCTACTTTTGGATGAATGTTTTCCTACTGCCACTATAAAGGAGATAGAGCAAACATGTTGTAAGTTTCTCTGGGGCATAGATGATGAATCCATGAGGAAAAAGCGATAATGGCCTGGGATTTATTAGCTATCCCAAAGAAGGAAGGGGGGCTAGGCATTCGTTGTCGATAAACATGGAATATAGCTTGCACTACGAGACACATATGGGCTCTGCTTGCCAAAGAGGGGTCCTGGTGGGTTTTGTGGAATTACCAGTATCGTATTAAACATCTCACTTTTTGGGAATTAAGAGCAGGTAGTACTGCTTCTTGGGTTTGGAAGAGATTGCTAAAGGTTAGCGATAAGGTGGAAGAGTTCTTTCGATGTTGGGGAACACAGGTTTATTGGAATGATAAAAGGATGTTGAGATACTCTGTAAAACAGGTTTGACAGGATTTACAGCCGGTTAGACCTCTAGTTTCCTGGTATCAGCTTGTATGGGGAAGACACTCTATTCCTACACACAGTTTCTTGGTTGGATTGTGGCACGCAACAGAATAACCACATTGGATCATTTGAAGGGCTGGAGGAAGGTGTTGGATGATAAATGTTTGCTCTGTTCTGCTCATACAGAGGATCGGGAACATCTATTCTTCCAATGCCAATATACGTTCAAGGTGCTTAAGGGTTGCCTGCAAATGCTTGATTAGAGATGTCCTCAGCTAGCCAACTATGAAGACTACTTGATGTGGGTTGTGAGGAATTTTAAAGGTAAGAAGGCGTTAGCTATGGTTGGTCGTTTGGTTTGGAATTTAGTAGTAAGCATGGTTTGGAGGGAACGGTATGGCAGACTGTATGGGAGTAAATCAATGCAGTATGGGGAGGTAATTCGTACAGTTCGAAGACTGATTGAGTTGGCCAGGCATGGAAATGCAGCATTGGATATTGATTGCCGAGTAGTTTTTATTCAATAAGTACAAGTTAGGAGTAGAGTGTAGTAGCAGAGTGTAGTAGCATTGGGGAGTAGTAGATTTTTGTTTGCTGTATAGTAGTAGTGTGTAGTAGTGCATGTTTAGTCTGATGCAAAGTGTAAAGATCAAGATGTGTAAACACATAAAGCTTAAATAATTTTTTTTATATTGCCCATAAAAAAAATTATGTTTATTTTTCTTCTGATTTCTACTCCCAAGTTTTGCTTGAAGGACCTCCTGGAGTGAGCATATTTCTGTTTTTTATTAGTTACTTGCTTTTGAATTCTAGGTAAATGGAAATGCCATCACTGCAACTGGACCTACTTGTTGTTGGAAGTTCGCATTCGGCTGGTATTGGTAATCGTAAGAAGTGTCAATTCCGCCATTGCAGCTGGGACCCCTCCACCCAAAGCTGGTCGGTTAACCATAGTGCTCCACATATATCATCCGAAGTTTCTGTGAGTCAGCAATCCAAAGCTGAGTTGGAATGTCCATGTGCCATGTAAAATTACTTTTTCATACCCGCCGTTTAGACCTGGCAAATTACAACCCGACCCGATGACCCGACCCGAAACCCCCCAAAAACTAGAAATTTTTGTAACCCGAAATCAAAATGACCCGAACTGATAAGTCATGACTTTTTGGGTCGGGTTGGGTGGGTTTGTGGGTCGACCCGTTAAACCCATTCCATTTTATATATCACTCCCAAAATGATAAAATCACTCATAAATTTGTGAGATGTTTAAAAAAATTCCAAGGATTTGAATGACATGTTTTGAGTTTAAGGATAATCAAATATCATGTGTATCTTGTAGTAATATTACTCTTGTGATTGTTTTTTGACGATTTGTGCAATTTGTATTTCATTTCATTAGCGTGGGAGGATTTGAGAATATGTTAATTGACATGTGTTAGGTAAACTATTGTCATGCATATGTGAAAATTTGTGTTCTTTAAGAAAATATGAGGCATGTTTTATATTGTTTCTGAGAACGCTCATAACCCGAAATGACCTGTAACCCGACCCAAAATCGAATGGGTTAGGTCAATATTTGACCCGAATTCAGCCAAACAAACATGACCCGACCCATAACTGAAGTCTCCAACCCGACCCGATTGCCAGGTCTACCACCGTTAAGTTTTTGGATTAAAAAGGTGACAATGCAATGAAAATTGAACTTAAGTGTTTTAGTTGCAACTAAACAAATCTAAGTGGTTAACGTGCAACCAAGCCAAAACTTAAGTGGCATGGAATGCAATTAACCCATCATAGACGGAGTCGACAACTGCAAGATTGGAGAAGGATTAGCAAATTTTAGGGTTTTGAGATTTTAGGGCTGAATTGGGGCAGACAGAAGAGGTCGGAGACCTTGAACGTTGTTAACTTACAACCTAATCGGAAATTCGGTGGGGTGGAGGATTTTAATTTTTATATTTTAATGATGTGGAAAGATTAAAAGAATTAATTTTTTTTATTAATTTTTTAATTGTCACGTCAGACATTTAACGGTCAACTGTCACATTAGACAAACTTAACGGAGAGTGACTAAACGTGGACCATTTTACTAATTCGAGTGACCAAAATTGATATTAATTATTTTCAGTAACTAAATATGACACATTTTAATAAAACCAGTGAACAAACTTTGCATCGTCCAAGGGACGGGTAAAAAACTAGTGTTAATTAAATCCAATTTCTACGAAACATCTCCATGAAATCTACAAATCTACAAATTACTATAAGGCAATGTCAAAAAAAGCAATTTGCCACGTAAGTCGCTGCTCAATAAACTGCATAGTGCGAAAGGACTTTCCGGTAACTTCACAAATCGCTTTCTTCTTCGGGGGTTGTCTTCCATCTCCTCCCGGTAACTGCCCACGGAACCTCATTGCCGCATTATCGAAGCAATCTTCCATGCCTCTACAACTGCCCAACGACCGTCGACTAATTCAGAGGATCCCTTTGTTTCGTCTCCAAAGACGTTTCTAGGTGAAAAAGTTCTCCGACTCCCCCTCACTCTTTCCACCTTCAATCTATTCCTATTCAATCCCAATCCCATCTTTACCCCTTCACGGCGCCCTCTGCAGCGTCTCACCGCAGCCGTGAAATCGGACCAATCTGCCTATCTCTGTAAGTTCCCCTCGATATGTTGCTATGGGCTTTTGCGGAGCCTGGACATGGGATTTCTCCTCCCGTTTTTATTTCGTCTATGTTTTCTTTCCCAATGGACATGCAATCCAATTCATGTCTGTTCAATTCGTTTCATGTGGGATTTGGTCCAATAATGATTTCATAATGCATCAGTTAGCCTTGGCGTAAATCATTAGTTAGCCTCAGCGAGTTAGCTGATTCATTCCGTTATTGTCCTATCGTTGTTTCCCCTATATCTATCTTCCTCTTGCTATTAATCATTTATTTGTTTGCTATAAATCTGCAGCAGCAATATTGTTTTTCAATGGAAGTGAAGCAATATAAGAGACAAAGTCTGCAGTCAAGAAGCAAGAGGCCAACAGGCAATTCATAGGCTGTGTAGGGCACTGAGGGAAGAAGTACACAGAGGGGGATACACATAAAACTATGAGATGAAACAAGTACGAGCGAGACCAAAAAAGATTACAAAGGGAAGCTGGGTGAGTGACCTTCACCAAGATGGGAACGAAAAGCGAAGAACACAGTAGCAGCAGGAGGAGGAAAATTACATGAAGCAGGATAGCGGCAACAGCAGGCTGATTTTCAATTCGCAATGAATCCATACTCAAAATGTTGTGTTGCAGCCTTGCAGGTTAATGAGCCAAAGCCAAAGCCAAGTCTTGACGTCCACTTTTTAGTGGGGGTAAGATCCAATCAATCACAGTTTGTCCAATCCTCCAAGCAGTGAGAAATTGGGTTTGCAAATATTCTGAAATGATTTGTTATTTCTTTCCAGCACATACTCCAGTAGAAAGTATGAAGAAAGAACTTAGAAATCCAAGTATGATTGTGCTTTAACTGACCAACTTTCGATGATGGCTTCCATATTGTCAGGTTGTGTCCGGAATGAAGATCACACGCTTGAGCACTCTCCAAATACCTCAAGATGGGGGGAAGGCCAAATACAATCAAGATTAACTCAAGATTATATGGGATGAAGCCAAATATGAAGCTAGATTTAAAAGATTTTGCTAGCATATGTGAGTTGTGACAGTCTGTTTTTTCTTCCTGGATCAATGGGCTTCATGACCATATTTTCTTTGGGTCTTATTTAAATGGTTTGCTCTCATTCTGTTACAAGTCATGTAAGTTTGAATTTCAGTTTTGGTACTAATCATCTTTGATTGGATTTAGTTGAATGATTTCAGAGAATCGGGTATGAGAATTAGGAGTGTTTAGTCTTTCATTTTTCCACAGTGGATGACAATGCTTTCAAGGTTTTTAGGTCTTGGTTTGGTTGCATAGGCAATCGAAGAATATTGGTTTTATTTTGTCAACTAGCTCGGTAGGGAATCTTTAACATAATGAGTTTGTATTTCCTGTATTTTCTAGGATTCAATTAACTATAATGAGTTAGTAAGATAAATAGATCATGATTTGTTTTAAATACAACAATTGGATGCATGATTTTTATTTGTTAATAAAAGATAATTTCATTACTCATGGTAGCTGATAATATTCCCTTTTAATCAAAACTCACATATAGACTTATGCCATAATTAAATATATGAAATATATCATTTAGTCATTGTATTTTTTTTATATAGGTATTTACTTTTTGTATCACACAAATATTTTTACTTACAGTTGGGTCACCATCATGAGCTTAAATACTCTAACTTACACCAAGTAAATAATGGTGAGCTATAATGCTGAGGAAAAACTCCAACGGCCAACGGGCCGGCCCAATTGCTAGTAGAAAAAGTACAACCATGACAAAAAAATGCAATAAGGATTTCACACGCAGCATTTCATTCATTGCGCTTCCACCGGAGAACTACACAAGTAGTTGTTTACAACATCCATATTTAACATCGAGAAATAAACACTAACTTATAGCTCTATATTAATGTTTACCCTCACGGTTCCACAACTTCGCTGGCCCCAAGCGACAAGTGCTGAAGTCGAGTGTTCCAGCAGCTACATTGCAAAGTATGCAGCAGCTGGCTTCAGTAGTGAACTTGAGGTACACAAATACTTGTTACTTGTTAGTAATATAGAAAGAATGAGGTGTTCAACTTCTGTAGAAACACATTATACAGCTATTACGTCTGAGAATGAATACTATGGGAGTAGCTACGAACTGTTTTCTTCCTGTTCTTAGCAAACAAAAATGCATTAGTTGCGACTTCATCTCAGAACCAAGGTATGCCCACAAGTAAGCTCCTCTTGCTGTGGTGAGCATTGCAGAATCACAATATCCCGCCCCAACTCACTTCATCTGTCATCTGGTTGTAAGGTTGGGCTCTTGGAGCACATATCAATCTTGTGAAGCTCTCTCATACGGCTGGCAGCATTACACAGACCTGATATGCTTTGCAAATTCAGTAGATGATAGAAAAGGGAGAACAATAGGGCTGTTTTTGTAGAGGCAGTTTAAGGGAATTTGTCGGGTTATTTATTCTGTAATTGAAACTGGATTCACTAAACTTAATAAGAATAGTGACTTCCCCAAACCTAATCATCTCTCTTCTGTCTCTCTCCCAGCCGAACCCTCTCCCCCACTGTTCCCCTCTGTGCCGTCGGTCTCCTACTGGAGCCGAGTTCTCTTTCACTTCTATCCTTCCCAAATCTCATAAATTCCCCTCTTCTCCCTATATCCTTAATCTTATCAAATCCTTAATCTCAATCTATTTCTCAATTCCATAACCTGACCCAGAAGCACCCTAGATCCACGATTTCTATCACAATGGCAATTCAGAAGAAAATGTAGCCCGTGAATCAGCAAGAATGCGATTTGCAGGCCCAGTAAATTGTGCAGAATGCCAAATAGAAAAATACACAAGAAAGAAACTGTTATACAAAAACCCCAACTGTAAAGTACGGACCTAATTGTTTGTACAAGATACAACGGATAAATGAAACTTGAATGGAGTTTATAATACCTGAGCATTTAGGAATGTCCCAAACAGCTATAGATGTTGACATACATCGAGGATCGCATATTGCTCGGTTGTCTTCATGTTTCACATCCATTGCTAGCATCCACGACCCGATAGTAACATCTTCATTGCTGAACATTCTGAAGCTGGTAGCTCAAATGTTCAAACTTTAGTATAAGAATAACTTGTAGACAACTCATACTAGGGACATAACTTACTAATTTACTTTTGAAACAAAAATGTAAGTAGAGTAAAAAACTTAGCACCAGAAGTGAATGTCTAGAAAACTAAATGAATTTTGTTGTTCCCTTGAGTGCTTCAGTAGACATCATGACCCACTAGCAAGTTGGGATACATCAGTGTGGAACAATTGATACTGAAAGGCCTAATAAACTGCAAGGTCTTGGTATTCTTTAAATTAGAATCAAATGGAACACCTAGTCACTCCTGTAGATCAGGTGCTCTGAATGAAAATGCATGATATCATTACCCTGTCATAAGCTAACCTTCAACAGAGCCCACCAAAATCTCCAGAAATGTAACAAGGTGATGGAAAGATGACCTAAGAAGAACCAGCACCAAACGCCCTCGTCATTGAAGAGGAGCAGGGAGGAAGTGCAAAAGAAATGGACTAACTTAGATCATCACATGTAGTAACATGTTGGGCGACTTGTGAAAGTAGTAACTAAGGATGTTGAGCCATGCTCCAACAGCTATGTTTTGAAGCTTCATGATCACTAGAGTCATTAGCAGCAGTATAATCATTGGTTCGCATTATATACCACGAAGGCAGAAGTAGAGCATTACTAGTGAGCTCAAGTACCTAATTTCAACAATTTTCAACAAGATGGTCAATATTAGTGAGGTAAAATTCCCTTAAAAGAACTCCAAGAAAAGTAAATAATTCCACTGGGAAAAAAAAACAGAACAAAGCCAGATTCGACCAATGAACAAGTTGTTTCACGAGCAGTAAATCAATGAAGATATAAATCATAAATAGAAGAAAATTAAGTGTAACTGACAGACCTATTGTTTCTAGCAACTGCCAGTGAGGCAACAATTTCAGCAGAAAGTACGTATATAGGGCCATAGGCATGCAAGAAGTACTCATTGCCAATCAGATGTCCAGATTTCTCATACCTGCAAAGTTGTCCACATTAGACTTAGAAGTACTCTTATTCAGAGGTAGAATTGTGAAGGTTAAGAAAGCAACAGGCTATCTGTATCATAACAGCTCCACACTAACCGATAAGTTACCATTTCAACTTGGGGTCAGTGATCACTGGTCCTTTCTTCATGCATCCTATATAGGTCCGTGAATGGGTTCTTTCTTTGGCAAGAAGTGTTGCTAACCGATCTAGAAAGAAAAATGACATTAGATATATTGATTCCTACTAATCATGTTATTATATCTAATAGGGGTATCTGAATTTATATACCTGGACGTAAGTAAATATCATCATCGGCTTTCACATAATACTCAGCTTCAAAATGTTTGTAGGCTGCCTTGAAACTGTATTGGAAAAAGAACAGGGTTCTTAGACAAGTGAATAATTGAACTAGTACGAGGAAAGGAACAACAAAACTCTAGTTGGCTTACGTCTTGTATGGAAGCTTGAGGTATTCTTCCTCATTATCTATAATCAGGAAATCTCGATATTTCTGCATCTCTTTCTGCAGCTCTGCCATCTTCTTTGCATCTCTTGAATATCCTATTACAAACCTAAATGCTAAACCAGTAGCTTGTTCCAACCTATCACAATATTATCCAGTTAGAATAGAATTATAATCCTTGTGCCAGGCAATCATATCCACAAATCCGAACACAAAAACAAACATGTGTAACATTGTAACAGAATGCTCCTGCGGAGCAAGGACTTAGAATGAAGTCAGGCTCCGGTAAACAGCTAATTTTAAGATTCTCATGACAGATCATTCTGTGTCCACACAACAAATTATACCCTGATGAAAGAAGTCTCTTACAGCTACTAGGAATTCAATCACTGGTAGCTGGGTACCAACAAATCAAATCTTACTAAAATCCGGTTTCCATGAACTTTAATTCAGTAGTTTAGCTACGAGGAAATCAAATCTTACTCAAATCTGGGTTCAAAGAAATTTTTTCACAAGCTTAGCTATGAGCTGATTACTGTATTGTCATCACTTTGTGAACCCATTGTGAACAGCAGAATATATTCACATCGCATCAACTGGAAAAATATAACAGCATCTACGAGCATTAACTGCGGATTTACCGCAAAAGGCCCTCTGGGTCAGAAGGGAACCAGGTTTCCCTTAGGGCAGCACGACGATCAACAGATTCGAAACCTGTCTGAATCCCAACAAAGCCAATAACTTTTGGGCGATCAACCAAACCGTGGACACTTTGATCTCCTCCAAGATGGTGAGTCGATGAGGAGTAAAATGCGCGGAAAGCATCTTCGGATCCGCCGCAGCGGTAGACGGGTAGAGGCTGGTGGCGACGGATGGCAACGATAGCAAACAGGGTTCCGGAAATGCCGACGAAGAGCGAGAAGAAGCAGAAGATGATTAAAGGAGAGACATGGCGGCCGGAGAAGGGAGAGGGGAAGAAGCTGGGTTTTTGAGGTTTGAAGGTTTTGGAGCTGATTGTTGGGAGAGAAGAGGAGGATGAAGACGAGGAATGGCCCCGATGTGAGAAAAGTGGCATATTTTAGCTTCGGATTTTCAGGGTGAAACTGAAACCCCCCAAAGCGTGCGACACCTTGAGTCTGAAGACTGAAAGGAGGGGGTTTGTGAATGTGGCCGTAGTTTTCCCAATTTCCCTTATGAGTCGAGAGTCCGGAGTTCATCGGTAGCTGTAGTTGGTTTGCTGTTGTGTAGAGCTGTCAAAATGTAACCCGATCCGAGTAACCCGTCCGATCAACCCGATTCGCAATCCGCCCGTAACTCGATTTGACTAAAAGTCAATGACCCGTAACCCGCCTGACCCGCAACCCGCCCAACCCGTAACCCGACTAACCCGCAACCTGACCAACCCGCAACCTGATCGACCCGCAACCCGACCAACCCGCAACCCGATCGACCCGCAACCCGACTAACCCGAACCCGTAACCCGACCAACCCGACTATAATAGAAGGAATTCGATGAAGATAAATTATAACTCTATAAGTTGACATTTGAAATCCTGGTTCACTAAAGTCTGATCATTACATCATCAATTATTAATATACATCATCAACCTATTAACGCATATAACATCATCAAATATTGATTTAGATACATCATCAACCTAATAGTGCACATAACATTATAAAATATTAATTTAGCATAATAAGATAATTATAAGATTTAAAATCCAAATATCATGATTCTATCATAAAAAAGATTAATAATAGTTCACAAAAGTCTGATCATAACAAGAATACATGATTCATAATAGTTCATATTGTCTCAAGACCTCAAATATCAATAAAACATGTCCAAAAAACAAATTGACATTCCAAATGACGATCACTCTAGAAGGTTTACTTCTTCTCCATCACGAGTCGTATCTTCATCATCGTCATCTGTGCAATTAATCAGTGAAAAGAAAATAATAAGAAAAAGAGAATAGTTTGTTCAATACAAATATAACAATTTGTTTCTTCTTACCCATTTGGTATCCTCGTATCCAATTACGAGTTGTCACAACAGCTTCAAGAGTATTAGACAAAATCGAAGTTCTCCATTTTGTTAATATTCTTCCTCCCAAACTAAAAGAAGACTCTGATGCAACTGATGAAATTGGAATAGAAAGTACATCCTTTGCCATTTTAGAGAGGTGAGGAAATCGAAATTGATGGTCCTTCCAATATTGCAAGACATCAAAAGGAAGTAGCTTAGCGACTCCATCAATGTCCCCAAATGCAGGTATCAAAGGATCAGCCAAATACAATTGCAACTCTGAACTAGTTGATGTATTGTGGTTGATATTGGATGCATAAAACCCCTACAAACAATAAATATAGATATCATTGATATTAACACATAAGCATGTGCATCATTTCCTTTACAGTTAGCATGTACATGAAACAAAACAAATAATTAACCAAAGACCAAAACACAATAACATAATTCAAATACTTACAGCAGTGTAATTGTCCAAGGGAACACTTGAAGAAGTCATAGACACACCACTTTGAGTAGCTGAAGTGGCCGATTGATTCTTATATTCTTTCAAAAGCAACTCCAAATCATCCACAACATCCTCGGCTTTTGAAACATATTCTCCACCCAACTTATCATAGCAATACTTCACAAAAGCAACCTTATAACGAGGGTCCAAAATAACTCCAAAAGCAAGCACCAAGTTGTAGTCTTTCCAATACTTCAAGAATTTCAACATCATTGCATTTGCCATAGCACGTATATCATCATCTAGACTTGTACAAAGAAGCCTCAACTCAAGATGAATCTTCCAAACATTCTAAAAAAAACAGATTACTAGTCGGGTACTTAGTTCCAGAGAATAACTTTGTGATTTCATCAAAAGACTTCAATAAATTTATAAGCACTTCTATCTTCTCCCAATCCTCAGATGATGGACATTCATTATACTCAAAATCCATCCTTGCTAAGTTTACAAATGCTTGACGATAATGATTTGCCCTCTCAAGCATATTATAAGTTGAATTCCATCTTGTTGGCACATCCAACCACAAAGACCTTGTTTGTTTCATCCCACTTTGCTCAACACATTCCTTGAACTTAATTTTCCTTCCTTCAGATCCTTCGACATATTTTACACTTTCTCTCACAGATCTAATACCATCTTTTATCACCTTCAATCCATCTTGGACAATAAGATTCAATATGTGCCCACAACAAAGTATATGAAAGAACTTGCCATCACACAACAATCCATTTTGTCCATTCAACTGATCACGCAATTCATTTTGCATGTTAGTCATATTGCTAGCATTATCCAAGGTGATAGAGAAGATCTTGTTATCAATACCCCATTCTCTGAGCATACGATAAATGGTCGTCTTCACTCTATAAGAGGAATGTGGAGGAGGAAGATGAGCAAAACTCAATAGCTTGCTATTCAGTTTCCATTCATCATCAACATAATGAGCCGTCAAGCATATAAATCCTCTAGTTGTCAATGAAGTCCACATATCACTAGTCAAACAAATACGACTAGAAATCTTTTGCAAACTAGACTTTAACTCCTCCTTCATTCTTTCATGGATCTTCACAATGTCAGATTTATGTGTATTCCTTGAAATAGGTTTAGCCTGACTATTCAAATAGCTATGCACATCTCTATTTCCTTTATGTTCAACACATCTAAAAACATAATCATGTGAAATTGTGCATATAGCTAATTTCTCACGAAAACCTTCCTGAGTTATGCAATTTTGACCAGTAGACTCATTCCTTAAATTTGATGGTTGGTGGAGTTTCTTACATACCGCAATATGTCGCTTCAGAGTAGATGTGCCAAGCCTTGACTCCGCCTTTCCCACAAAAGTTGCACTTTCCTTTCTCTAGAAGAACTCCATCGTCATCAACGACATTAAATAGTTCTACATCGTCCCACACTTCCGATGTGCGGCGAGAATTAGCCTTCTTTTTAGGGGGTGAAGAAGGGCTAGAACCAGTAGTACTACCAACACCACTTCCCGAATTATTAGGATCCATGTCTGCAAATTCACAACAGCAGAATGTAGACAAACAATCAGAACACCAAATTAATTTATTAACAGTTACCAAATCCGGTAAAGTACTGAATACAAGCAGAATGCCAAATCACCCAAGCATAACGTCAGTTTGTTAATAAATACTACTTAATCTAAGAGTTCAAAACCACTTGAAAAGAATGTGAAACGTGGAAAAGGACTTAATGGACTACTTACCATCTCACCCAACTTTACTGGAGAGCACAACAGGGGAAATCTGAGTTACCTTCGGGGAATCGTCGCTGCGACGAAGGCCTGATAGCAGAGGAGGTCAGAGATTTCGGTCCGCTGTGACGAAGGCCCTCAAAACAATCATGCGACGAAGGCCTGTTTCGACAGAAGAAGCGGACCGAGCAGACGAAGGAGAAGATGAAAGGACTCGCAGACGAAGGACCGACAGACGAAGGAGAAGATGAAAGGACTCGGAGACGAAGGACCGACAGACGAAGGAGAGGGTCGGCGGTCGGGTATGGCAGGCGGCGGCTAGAACTCTTTCTTTGGAATTTTAGGGTTCTTTCTTTCTGGGAGCAGCCGAGCAGGCTCGAAATCCCAATTCGCAAATGGTTATGGAACGAGACAAATGAAGTTTCTTCTTTCTTTGCATTTAGTTTTGAGTTTCGAGTGTGGATGTTAAAACTTAAAATAAAACACAAAGTATCAAATTGTGAGGTAGCAGAGTTGGTTAATGGGTGTTTGGTGAATTATTGATTAGTAAACAGAGGTTAGTGTTTCGAAACCCAGTGAAGATTTTTTTTTATTATTAACTGTGTACTTTTTTTTAGTTGCTGTTTAAATTAAGGTATTAAATATTAGTTGGTGTATAGGGTATATAATGGGTTAGGGTATAAGGTATTAAATATTAATGGTGTAGGCACGATTAGTCAAAAACTCAAAATAATAACTTATAACTAATAAGGTATTAAATATTAATGATTTAGGCACGATTAGTCAAAAACTCAAAATAATAACTTATAACTAATAAGATCAACTTTTATTATTAACATATGTTCATGAATCAAACCATTAGGGGTTTAGGGTATATAGACTATAGAGTCGATGTATAAGGTATATGGTTAGTGTAACGGGTATATAATGGGTTAGGGTATAAGGTATTAATGGTATGACCACGGTTAGTCAAAATCATAACTAATAAGATCAACTTATCTTATTAACATATGTTCATGAATCAAACCATTAGGGGTTTAGGGTATATAGACTATAGAGTCGATGTATAGGGTATATGGTTAGTGTAACGGGTATATAATGGGTTAGGGTATAATGTATTAATGGTTTGACCACGGTTAGTTAAAATCATAACTAATAAGATCAACTTATCTTATTAACATATGTTCATGAATCAAACCATTAGGGGTTTAGGCCTTTAGGGTATATAGACTATAGAGTCGATGTATAGGGTATATGGTTAGTGTAACGGGTATATAATGGGTTAGGGTATAGGGTATTAATGGTTTGACCACGGTTAGTCAAAATCATAACTAATAAGATCAACTTTTCTTATTAACATATGTTCATGAATCAAACCATTAGGGGTTTAGGGTATATAGACTATAGAGTCGATGTGTAGGGATATGGTTAGTCTAATGGGTTAGGGTATAAGCACTACAGGAAAACTAGTTTTTAGTCACGGGATCTTATTCACGGTAGTGTTTCCCGTACTAAGAAGTATACTAATATTCACGGTAAAATTTTCCGTAATTGATTATATAACTATAATCACGACAATTTATTTACGTGTATTTTAGCCTTCTCTTCCCATCTAGAACGAGATCCATATTTTCCTCATTATTATTACATGTGAATCATAGAACGAGATCCCATCTAAAATAAAATCATAGAACGAGAAGATAATACCCTCACCAATAGCTAGAAAATAGAAATTTAAGAAAACCGTTTCATTTTGATAACCCGCCAAATGATTTTTCGTTTCCCGGGCCTTTGCCAATTCTATAAAATTTCATGACCACCATCAGGCGCCAAACTCTTTTCATTTCCCGGGTGAAGGCGCCAATTCTAAAATTTCATGACCACCATCAGGGCCTTTGCCTGTTTGGCTTAATGTTTGTTTTGTTCATTATGCCAATTTCCATGGACCATGGTACATTAAATCGTACCGTACCGGCGGTTCAACCACGAAATACCAGTATTGTGAAACCCGCAACCCGAATCGCCCGACCCGCAACCCGATTGACCCGTAACCCGATTGACCCGCAACCCGATTGGCCCGCAACCCGATTGACCCGAAACCCGATGAACCCGAACCCGACCAACCCGCAACCTGACCAACCCGCAACCCGATTGAACCCAGCCCGAACCCGCCCGATTGACACCTCTACTGTTGTGGCGTTAGAGTGGTTACTAAATTTTGAGCAACACATAGGCTATCAAGTACCAACATCTACACTCTTAATTATATACTATGCTTTTAGTCTGCGTTTTGTGATGGCAAACTCATGTAATATGCTTGTTTAATTGATACATAATATTATATTTATAATTAATGTTACTATTATAGAAAAAGGTAACGTTAATTTTTTATAATGCATGATCTAATAATAACCTCAAATTAAGAAAAAGCACCACATTTGATTAAACTATTATATAAAAATTAACTTACCAATGGAACATTTGCGTAATTCAAATTGATAGATTGTGAATACCGTAGTTAATAATAAATCAATTTTAATTACTAATAAAATATTTATTAATTAAATTATGAAAAGTATCACGTTTAATCAAATTGTTATGTAAACCTTATAGAATCTTTGTATAATACAAATGGATGAGATGCTCAACAGTTTAGTTAATAATAAAGAAATCATAAATAAAAATAAACCTTATAGAATCTCTATGTAATGTAAATGGATGAGATGATCAATGACTTAGTTAATTATAAATAAATTTTCATTAAAACTCATATTACGGAAGACTCTGTAATATTTTTTTTAATTTTTACATAAGAAATTACTATTTCATCATAAATTTTACGTAATGTCTTAATCATCACGAAAGACTTAATGTATCCTGTTTTGTTTAATTGATACATAAGAAATAACTATCCTTCCATAAATTTGAGGTAGAGTATTTTTAATTTACATAACTTTTATAGAACGGTGTTACATAAATATTTCAGAATTTGTGGTCTAATAATAAAATCAACTTACTAAACGTATAATATTTTATTAAAATATTATGTAGAAGTTAACTTAGCGTACGAAATCTTTGCGTAATACAAATTGATGATATGGTTAATATTGTAGTTAATGTAATAAAATTTTGTCTAATTGTTACATAAGAAACAACAATCATTTCATAAATTTGACGCAATGTATTTTTAATTTATGTAACTTTAATAGGTCGGTGTTACATAAATAATTTGTAATATTTGGTCTAATAATAAAATCAAGTTACTGAAAGTATTATATTTGATTAAACAATTATATAAAATTTAACTAACCTTACCGCAAGGTTGTCAACCAGCGGGTCGACCCCTGGGTTAACCCGAATTGACCCTGACCAGGTGAGTAAATTAGGTCTCACACACACTCGCTGGTCGACTTGCAGCAAGGTACCAGGGTTATATGTCACACAACGTCGTTTTTCCTTTTGGTTTGCGAATTGCACCTCTTTTCCGGTTTTCCCCTTTGCATAGCCCTATCTTTGGATTTCTAAGTTGAACATTTGAATATTTATGTTATATGAGTGTGTTTGAATTTTCATTATAGCGTTGGATCCAAGTATAACTATTATTCGGCTGTAATGTTATATGTTATTACACGTGTGTTATATGAGATTTTATATAATTTTTAAATATATGAACTACAATGACTTTTTTCATATATCCGGGTCAAATGGGGTTAACGTGATCGGACCATTATCTTACAAAACCTTTGCATAATGCTGATTGATGATAATAAATAATGCAATTAAGTTATAAACTTACTTTGCAAAATTATTTAGTTAATGATAAAGGAATTATTGAAATTGATGATGCAATTTTTTTATAGAAAAGTGGGGTGCTAAAAGGGCACCCCTGCCTGGCACGTTAAATTAAAATAGATTGGGCAATGCCCATAGCGTCATACAGGACCCAGAAAGAAAGGCCCGAATCAGAAACATTGACACTGTGAATGCCTAAACTATGATCATGACCGCGACTGGCGAGGAAGTCAGCCACCTTGTTGCATTCTCTGTAGACATGTGAAAGACGGACTTCCCAATCCCGATCTATAAGTCTCCTGAATTGTTGTATGAGCTTGTAGTACCTTTGATCCTCCAGAAGTTGTAATGCTGCAGTTGAGTCAAGTCCAACCATTACTTTCCTGTAACCTTGATCCCAAGCGATTCTAAGTCCTTCAGTGACACCTTTAATCTCAGCCAGAGTTATTGTACAAGCACCCAGGTTCCCAGTGAAAGCAGCTAAGCATCGCCCGAGATGGTCTCTGATGACACCACCTATTGCTGCCATAGATCCAGAGGTTGGCGGACAGATCCGTCTGTCTGTAAATTGATCCACCCCTCCGGCGGCGTCTTCCAAGCCAGGTCATGCTGCACCTTTGCTCCTGTCGTTTCTTTAGTCAGCATATCACATTCCTGGGCTTGCCTAATTGTTCTGGCCCAACTCCGGATTCGTTGCGACAAGACCAGCGCATCAAAGGGTTTCTTCTGAAATATTGACTCATTCCTCTGCTTCCATAGATACCACGCTGCCACTCCCACCAAGAAGCCGTCCTCGTCCACACACAGCCTCTGTTTCAACCAATCCGCAAGAGGGAGAGCCATAGTTAATTGGGTATCCATCAAACCAAGAGCTTGCCATACCTGAGTAGCCCGGGAGCATCGCCGTATCACGTGATCCGTCGTCTCAGGCCCCGAGTTGCAGAGGCAGCAGACATCCTCGGTGGTGAGCTTCATCCGTTTTCGCTCCACATTGGTCAGTAATCTGTCATGCGCCGCCAACCATAAGAAATGTTTGATTCTGTTGGGGCCATTCCATTTCCATAAGTCTTTCCAAACTGGTCTGCCCGTTCCAACCATCTCTTCTTCTTCCTCAATCCTTAACCAATCCGCAGCCACCTTGTAAGCTGATTTGAGGCGAAAACAACCATCTTCTTCCATACCCCAATTTGAAACATCCTTGCCCAGCTCCGAATCTGGGGTGTCTGTACCTGCAATAAGCATTATTAAATTGTTAGGTAGGTCTGCCACAGAAGCCTCCCAATGGATACCACTCCCATCACTCTGAATATGATCAGCTAGAATGATCCCACCAGCAAGCCACGGACTCGTCCAAAAATTCACATTGCGGCCGCTCCGGACATCCCAGGTTATATGTTGCTTCATCAGAGGCCATGCGTCCATCATCCCTTTCCAAAGACGCGAAGGCCTGCTGTGCTTCCTAATGAGTTCGCTGGTCGCATTAGATTTGAAATATTTTCCCTGAAGCACTTTGACCCACAAAGCAGATTCATTATTCAGGAAAGACCACGCTAACTTAACCATGTATGCGAGATTCAAAGCACGGGCTGAGCGAAGCCCAAGACCTCCTTCCTCCTTTGGCTTGCAGACAGTCTCCCAGGTCACAAGGTGGCCTTTCGATTTCCCCTGCTCCGAACCCCAGACAAAGGAGCGGATCTTCTTATCTATCAGCTCACAGATCGAGACTGGTATGACAGCAGTCTGCATCGCATAATTTGGCAAGGCATTCAGGACAGACATAGCTAAAGTAACTCTTCCCGCAAGTGAGAGGCTCCTCGCCTTCCATCCTGCCAGCTGCCTGTCGATATTCTCAATAATGAATCTGTAGGTGTCTTTCGTCACACGCCCATGGACCACCGGTACCCCAAGGTAGCGCCCCAGATTGTTGGTGATTTTCATCCCAAGCAGGTCGCTGATGCGCTTCTTAGTCGATTCCTTGGTGTTCTTTGAAAAGAAAACACAAGATTTCTGCTTGTTGACTTGCTCTCCAGAAGCCGCACAGAAGGTATCCAGACAATGTGAGATCACTGTTCCCTGTTTGTAGTTGGCCTCAGCGAACAGAACCAAGTCATCTTCAAAAAATAAATGAGTTAGCGGCACTCCTCTTTGACCAAGCACAATTGGTTTCCAATTCCCAGCCCCAATTTCTTCCTGAATGCAGTGATTCAGGCGTTCAATACATAACGTAAAGAGATAGGGCGAGAGGGTACATCCCTGTCTAAGACCTCTTGATGGTTGAAGCTGTCTGTTAACCCTCCATTCCAAAGGACTTGAAGGCTGGTCGTGGTCACACAAGCCATGATCAACTCGACAAAATCTTGAGGAAGCCCTACAGCGTGGAGAGTCTGCTCCAAGAAATTCCAATTGACCCGATCGTAAGCCTTGGCCAGATCTATCTTCAACACCATGAGACCCTTAGCTCCAGATTTAAGTGACATAGTGTGGATCACCTCCTGGAGGATTATGATGTTGTCAGTGATATGGCACTTTGGGACGAAGCTAGTATGATTCGGCTCTACCAGATTCGGCATGAGCTTCTTGAGCCTATTCTCCAGACATTTAGCAACCACTTTATAGGTGATGTTGCACAACCCAATCGGGCGGAACTCTGCAATAGTCCTTGGCACCTCAACTTTAGGAATCAGAGTGATGAGGGTCTCGTTGCAAAGCTCAATTCTTTTAGGCTGCTTGAAACAAGAAGCAACATGCTCAAATAGATCCTGTCCGACTCTTCCCCAACATTGTTTATAGAAAATGGCTTGAAAGCCATCCTTCCCTGGCGCTTTCAGCCCTCCCATGTCACCCAAAATTTTTTGGTCTCAGCGGGTGAAGGCATGGCAGCCAGATTGATGATTTCCTCTTCTGCCAGACTCTTGAAACGAGCAGGAATCACCACACCTGAGGTTTCCTCCTCCATAAAGAGGGTACCATAAAAATCCCTAGCTAGGGCCTTGAGAGCTTCCGGGTCGTCAATCCAATTTCTAGAACTGTCTTGGAGTCTAGTAATTCTGTTCCTTCTGCGACGACTGAGAGTAGCATTGTGAAAGAAAGGAGTGTTCCGATCTCCTTTGGTAATCCAGTTATTCCTAGCTTTTTGCATCCACAAGACTTCCTCTTCCCAAAGGGTGCGCTCGAGCTCTTCCCTAATCTCCGCTTCCCGGTTGAGAGAGGCTTCCGAAGGCTGGTTATTATTCATTGATTCTAGATCAGCCAGCTTCTTAGATAGGGACTTCTTCCTGGTAAAAATATTACCAAAAACGTCTCTGTTCCACACCCGGAGCTTGGCCTGCAAGTCCTGCACAGATTCAAGACAATCCCTACGGCGGGTCCAACAGGCATCAAGCATCTTATGAAAATCCTCATGAGCTCACCAAGGAGCAAGAAAACGGAACGGTCTCACCTGGTAAGGGGTCCCTTTATCAGCCGTGCTTGACAAGAGAATTGGTCGATGATTCGAGCGAATACGTTGAAGGTGGGCATTCCTGGTGTCTGGGAAGCATCTTAGCCATTCCTGGTTACAAATTGCTTGATCTAACCGTTGAGCAAGTCTCCCGTTGGCCCAGGAGAATTTAGGTTCGGAAAACCCCACGTCAATAAAGCCGCAATCAGTGATACAATCATTAAACTCGGACACCCTGTTGGGATTGAACTTGGCTCCACCTTGCCGCTCCGAAGGGCAGGTGATAGAGTTAAAATTTCCCATGAGGAGCCACGGGTCCTTGGTATTTGCTTCAATCCGACGAAGGGCATTCCACAACGGCAGCCGATCATAATCGTTCGGCTTGGCATAGACAGCAGTGAGCATCACTTGTTTCTGGTTGGTGCCTGTACAACACAAATGAAGAAATTGGGGGTTACTGTCCACCATAGAAATCACAAAATCAACTGAATTCCACAGAACCCAGATACCGCCGGAAAAGCCCACGGCGTCCACCCTCTCATAACGGTCAAAACCCATCGATCGAGTTACGGCCAACGCGTCCTCACCACTAATACGCGGCTTGACAATGAAAACCATATTCGGGCGATGAACACGCATATAATCTTTGAAACTAGGAAGAAAATGAGGATGCTTAGCACCCCGACAATTCCAACAAAAGAACTTAAATATGGGTAAAAGGAGAAGAGGTAAACCCGGAAACTTCCCTGACAAAGAGACGATCAAGAGTCCAGCAGCAGCTAGCAATCGTCGTCAACCTCCATGGCACCCTCTTTGATGGCTGCCACATCAACATTCTCCATTTTTCCAGACTTTCGTTGTTCCACAGTCCTTTTTGCCTGTGCCTGCGTCGGGCCGGAGGAGCTAGCCTCCGATTTGCCATTGCACTCATTCTTTGGTGTATTGCTTGGCAGGTCGGGACCTTTCCTCTCCTTCAAAAGAGTATTTTCCAACTGTTTCCCAGCGGGTTGGTGGTCTGTTGTGTTGGCTCTCCCTCCCTGATTCTTCTGCTGGGCGTTCTCGGGGGAGGATGCAATTTGGCCGGGAGCAGGCTGGCGAGCATTGGGTGATTTTGGGCCAGCAGGTGGTGTCTGGGTCGGAGTACCAGAAGGGCAGACCTGATTTTTTGTGGGTGGCCCAAAATGGGGTTGGGCCTTAGCTAGAGAGGGAGCCTTTACCCCATTATTCGTGTATGTCGTTTTAGTTGACCCCTTTTTTTTCGCCTCTATCTTTTCCTTCTTTCCACCTTCCTTCTCCGTTCTCTGATTCTTCTTTCCTTTTTCCACCGTTTTTTCCTCTCCAGTGGTTTTGACAGAGCCGTTGCTCTTCCTTCCTACTATGTTTACACCTTCCTCTTTTTGCTTGACTCTGCTCCCTTGATTTTTGTCCACCGTAATCGATTCAGACACCGCAATTTCCGCCTCGACCTCCTCCAAAGCCTGGAAACGAGATCCGGAAACCCGTTGTGCTGACGCCTGCGAGGACACCACCGGCGAGGCTGCCGCCGGCGGGGTTGCCACCGGAGAATTCACCAGAGTTGCCGTTTGATTCTTGTCTCCACTGGGTTCTCTTTGTCGTTGAACAAATTTCGGTTTCTTATTTCTCGTCGCTATCATCCAGGGCCCATAATCTTCTAGGATCTCCGGTCGAACATCAGAGTTCCCTTTGAAGTTAAAAATCGGATTGGTATTAGACGTGAAGTCCATCGGAGGATGCCCTTCTTCGGAAGCTTTAGCACAAGTTTCCTGTGAATGATCATAGCGGCCGCAGAAAAAGCACACAAGATGAAGGCCCTCATATTCGATTCTCCGAACTCTTATTTTCAGGCGGTATTTTGGAACAAGGCGTTTGTTCATATCGATTTCCACACAAAGACGAGCATAATTCCCCCGATTGCAGTGAAGCGTGTTGTAGTCTATCTTGATTACTTTTCCAATTCGACTTCCAATGTCGTTAAGAATTTCAATATCGAAGTACCCCATTGGAAGCCGGGGGAGTCTTACCCAGATTTAGGCATGGTCGATGACATCATAGTCTGGATCGAAATCCAG